CCCCAAAACCCCAAAACCCCAAAACCCCAAAACCCCATATCTTTAGCCAAAGCTCCTTATAAATTAATAAATTCTAAAATATGGGAATCTTTATATTCTAAATAAGTTTTAGCTAAGCAGGGAGATGCTCAAAATCAAACATTGAGAATTATTTTCAGGAACAAGTTACTTTGTCACAATTTTTAAGCTGCTTAATAAGAACTTAAGTTAGACTAGATCCATGATTGAAGTATTTATCCACCAAATTTCGGAGGAACCCTTATCTTTTTCTCAAGCCCTATCTGCTCTTCTTTGATATTGTCTTGAATTCTGGCTGCCATTTGTTTTCTTTTGAGAAGATTTTTCTGATCAATGATACTGCCCTATAAGAGGTTGTTATAGCCCAATTCAAAATAAATCGAAGCAATATAGCCTAGATAAACTTAAAACCTACTAAATGCTCAACTTCAGCAATTTTGGGATTCAGTAATCGTAGAGTTTTATTTGACCTCAAGTTGGATTTTACCAGAAGGATGAACATGAATGCCTCCAAACTTTCTTGACTTGTAACGCCTAGATTTTAACATAAAAGCCTTACTTGTTCATCGCCATTGGACTAGAGATGCCACTATAACTTCCTCTTGGCTTGAATTGTCTGAGAGAAATATTTTCATGAATAGCCTTCCGAGTTATTTCGAGTTCTTTGTCCTCTTCTCTTATTTTATTTTTTTAGGAATAAAGTATTCTTAATCATCTTTCTTTCCTCTGGCGAAACTGAGAGCTATGATGTAAAATTAATATTTACACGTTCAGAATAACTGTTATCGTGCTCATCGAAGGAAATTTTCACACTTCGGGGTTTTCTACAAGGGTTCACACTATCAAAGTAGTCCTCATCATCTGGAGACATTGGACGAGAAGTATCCCGAAGGATGGTAAAATCCTTTTGGGATTTAGTTTCATCCAATTTAAGTGATTCTATTGATAAAGTATGCTTCTTACTGTAACTGGAGTATAATGCATCGTAGCTTTGGTTCAATGTCTATAGAAAATTCATCCTGAACCTACATTCTTGATACTAAGTTCCGGGCTATGTTCTTCTTTATGTTTATTCGCCAAAATCTCAATTGAACACTTGCCATAATATTCGTTTTTGAGCCTGTCTTCTTTGATTTTTCTTCTTAGGGTCTTTATAGCTCTATCATTATCTCTTTTATCCAGATTGTTAAGCTTCTTATTTTCCTTTGCTTTCAAGAAGCTTTAGCTCCTTGAGCAATGTGGTTTGCCTGCCTATTAGAGCTTTCTTTCTCTTTTTCCTAAGAGTAAAAATATAATTACTCTTTCCTGGTGTAATCAACGCTAGCTCCGAAGCGCCGGTTTCGCCTCTGGCGAAGCCGGAACATCCGGTTCTGGTCTTCGATGAGCATACCCAGAGCTGAGCCAATCTGGAATTCACTTTCTTTAGGCTTAAGAAATGGTTTCTCTCTTCCTTGCCTACTAAACCTAGACAGATCTGGTAGAATAGTTTCCTTTCCTGCAGGTGAATTCTTCAACAGTGATAATGAAGGTGATACCTGGAAGCTAGTATTAGTCCTAAATCTCCCTACATAAGTCTTACTGCTTGACAATGGTACCCTTGCACTCTGTATCGAACATTCTTGTTCCTTTCATAATAAAATATTTTTAAAATTAGAAAATACACAGACCAATAATTGGCTTGTAAAAAGGGGTTTTGGGGTTTTGGGGTTTTGGGGTG